TATATATAGTGTTATTTAGGCTTGAAAATCAGTTAGAAGTGAGTAAGGAACGTTCTAGGGGCTGCCATATGCCAAGGACGTGTGTTTAGAGAGAACCAAGAGAGAACAATGTGTAATCAACATCTTATGTACCCGACTATTGAATGATAATAGTGTGCATTGAAGATTAATTATCTTGTTCTTATTCATCATTCTCTTGCATTATACACTTTGATTGGGATTCCGCACCATCAAAGTGAATCTGATTGAATTGTAGGAGAATTCGAGACTTACAAGTGGTATCAGAGCAAGGATCAGTAGCAATCGGGTCATTGCAAGATATTTTTTAAGAGTTTTTCTTGGACATTCTTGGTGTTTTTAATTCATATTTGACGAATTTTTGGCCATTTTGCTTCGTGCTCTTCATATTTTTGGAATTTAGATCGATTTTCGCTTTCAAGATTTGAAAATACAGTGTTTTTGGCATGTTTTGGGCATTTTAGGTCAATATTTGCGAAATATAGGCGGCCACCTTCGGATCCGGTCAAACAACATTGCATTTCAGACGTTCTCAGTCAGCCTTGCACGTTCTCGAACGCGGCCTCGCTAGTTCACGGTGCGAAGTGAGGTTCACAGAGAGAAGGTTTATGGCTCGCACGTTTCCGGTCTCGCATGTTTTCGGTCGGACACCAGCAGCCTCGCGTTTACGGTCCATCTGTTCTCGGCTTCGGATCTCGCTTCTATTCTCGGATTTGGATATCCAAGTTCGCAATTTCGGCTATAATTTCTGAATTTCAATATTTTGGCTTATTTCTGGTCAAATTGCCATATTTTTGATCTAATAATTTCATTTTTGGTCCTTAGGCCTCATATTTGATCAAAAAGACCCGTATTTGGTCAAATACTCTCGGGTTTAGTCTAGAAAATTTCGTTTTCAGTTTAGAAATTTTTGTTTTCGGTCAAGGTTATTCTTTTTGGACAAAGATCTTTGATTTTCAGCTTTCACTTTCGGAGTTAACTTTTGACTTTCAAGTTTGACCTTTGACCTTTAATTTTGATTTTCTCGTTTAACTTTCAAGTTTTCACGTTTGACCTTCAGATTTGACTTTTAAGTTTGACTTTTTTGATTTCAGTTTCAAGTTTGAATTTTCAATTTTTACTTTTAAGTTTGACTTTTTAAGTTTGACTTTCGAGGTTTCAAGTCAAAGGGGATTTTTCTTGGTTCATAATCAGTCCTATTTTTGGTAAATTATTCTTTTTGGTGAATAATGAGTTCTTCAATCGCCGAGGTTACTGAAACTTCATGTTCTCAGTCCTATGAAGCTACTGTTAAACTTTATCATGATCAACTTGATTTATTAATTAGGGAGATTAAGGACCTTAAGTATGAAGGATAAACTTTCAGAGAGGCCCAAAAACCCTTAAAACAACAATTAGTTGCCCAAACCAAAGACTTCAAAAGGATTAAGGAAGAATATAGTACTAAATGTGAACAATATAATTATGATCAAGTAGAGATTGCCAGCTTAACTGCCAAAGTTGATGCACTAAAAGCGAAATATAAAGATGTTGAATTTAACTTTAAGAAATTTGACGTGACAAGTGAGGTAGTTGTGTCCATGATAGAAAAACAATTAAAATTTAAGGATAATCACAATAAGGGTTTAGGGTATCACAGTGTTCCACCTCCCTTCAATGACAACTATACCCCACCCCCTGAAACCAATGAGGTAGAGACACTTGCTCAGTATGGTCCGCCCCCTGTACCAATTTCAATTAAGATTGAAGAATCTGGACCAACTGAGAATATTAAGGTGAATAGTACTAATGCTTCTACTTCATGTGCAGGTAAAGTAGTGGAAGATGAGAACAAGAAGAACAGAAATAATTGTAGTTCTGTTAATTCTACTGATTTTTAGTCAAATGTCTCCTTGAACTCTGAATCTGTTGCTTCTAATTATGTTACGTCTAATAAGCCTGTTGTTGGTAAATACATGCCTTCAAAACAAGCGCAACAGACTGCTTGCTACAAGTGTGCATGTGGGAACAATCAGAAACAAGGCATGGGCATGCTACCAGGGGCAGGCAGAAACAACTTCTACGTGAAGAAACAAACCTATTTTCACTGTGGAATACCTGGACATATTGCCAGAAATTGTCTAAATCGTGCATATGTTCCCTACTCTGCACGAGGTTGGCAAAACGCACCAAGAGGGAGATCCTCCAAAAGAAACCTTTCGAGGTCACAATCGAACAATGATGATTGGAATGCTAAGAAGGAAAATAATCAAACTCCCAAGGTCAAGAAGGGAATGTCGGACAAGATGTCGAATTCAAGAGATTATTCTGTTCGACAAAGATTAGTTAGGTCAAAGTCATCTAGGCAGTCGGTTTCAAGTTCTAAAACGAGTGATAAGGCATCCATCCGATCAAACAGGAAATGGGTTAAACCCGACTACAGATGGGTACCGAAGGTTCATACTCCCAAATATTCTAATGATTCTAACATTTTTTCATCTTCTGTGTCTGATAAGCAGGATATGTCATGGGAGAGAGTACCTTGTGTAGATGAAAAGGGTCAACCTAGCTTCAACATGGACTAGGTTCCAAAGACCAACTAATCCTGCACTTTGTTTCGGAGAAGCTATGGAGGAATATCATCAGACTTCAGTTTGTTGATAGTGGCTGTTCCAGGCACATGATAGGAGACATCTCTCAACTACATTGCATTTACAACTTTAATTGAGAGTATGTATCCTTTGCGGGAAGTAAGAAAGAAAGGATCACAAATGGGGATTGTGTTTATAGGCGTAATGAATAACTTAACTTCGTTCTGGAGTTGAAACACAGCTGAGGCTGAAGATGAAAAAAATATGTTTTCTTTTCGTAAGTATTCTTGGGAAGTGATATGAGATTTAGTGATAAAGGGCAAGTTAAATTGGCTGAGAACTTTGATCCCAAAAGTTCTTGTTTTTTATATTTTGCATTTTATTTCTTATTTTCTTAAATCTGTTCATATTGTCTTATATTCACAAATTTAGGGGGAGAATTTAAAAAAAAAATAAAAATAAAAATTAAAAAAAAAATCCTAAAATTTAAAAATCTAAAAATATGTTTATTACCGTTTTTATTTTTTTTTAGAAAAATTAAAAAAAAACCAAAAATATTTTATTTTTATTTTGAGTGTATTTTTAATTTTAATTTTTACTTCTTAGTTATTTCTATATGTGCTAAGTTTATTTTTACTTTTATTTTTATCTCAAAGTTTTGTCTGTCTTATAAGCGAGTTCAAACAGAAGAAGACTCTCAAGGAGAATGTATCGGAATTTTCTGAGCAAGAAACTTGGAAAGGAATTGATGGTGAAACAATAAATTGATGGAGGACTCAAATGCGAGTGAAAGACTCTTTCGTATTCAGACTAATGTGAAACACCCAACCTTCACCCATATCTAAACTTTCTCCATTAAATCATTTCCACATACCGATACCGCTTGAGGTTCGAGTATAAAACAACTCAGTTGACGGTTACCAAAAAGTCTGTGTTTATGGTTTTAGAAGTCATTATCACCATGATTCTAAGTGAAACCCAAAATCCGAAATCCATCCATTTCTGAATTGACGGTGAACATTTTAATGTTGTAGATATTTTCACCCATGAAATTGACGGATAATGGTTTATACCTGGTGTGACACTATACAAAATGTCAGTTAGGCATTTTTACCCATGAATTGACGGATAATGGTTCATACCTGGGTCTTTGAAAAACTGTGGTGAGAATGGTCTTTATGATTCTGTGATCCACAGGGACTTTTTACTCATGATTACTTTTCAAGGATCAACGGTGATCGTTAAAGAATATTCATTCGAAGGAACTAGAAGTGAAGATTATCTTTCAACATTCAATTTTTCAAACCCAGAAGCAAGGTGAAGCTGTAGTTGAAGTTATGTGACAAATTTCATTGAAGCCTCCTCAATTAATTTGCTGCTATCTATGAACTTGCTGAAGTGATCCACAAGAATCGGTCTCTCTGTTATTATCTCTGAAGTATTTCGAAGTTGAAAGTGCTTATTTTCAAAGAACCTTTACAAGAAGCCCCTACACCCAATCTGCGTTCAAAGTCAAATTCTTTGAAGGAAGTCCAACTATTCAAGATAAAGTCATTCATGCAAAAATTCATATGTTCATCTTGAAATTGTGAAGAAATCAAAGACAAAAGTTGAAGCAAATAACAAAGCGAAGATTGACAAGTAAAGAAAGCAATAAACTAAGCGGGTGATTATTAGGACTAAATTATGGTTTATTGTAAGTGAAAAGAAAGCTATAAAGCAAGCGGGAGATTGTTAGGTCATAAATTATGGTTTATACTTTTCTATTCATAAGATATTAGAGAGATTGTTAGGCCATATGCCAAGGACGTGAGTTTAGAGAGAACCAAGTGAGAACAGTATGTAAGCAACATCTTGTGTACCCGACTATTGAATGATCATAGTATGCATTGAAGATTAATTATCTTGTTCTTATTCATATTTGTCTTGCGTTATACACTTTTATTGGGATTCCGCACCATCAAATTAAATCCGATTGATTTGTAGGAGAATTCGGGACTTGCAGGACGAAGGAGGGAAATGAGTCTTACTGAGCTTTCATGGCGGTTATATCTATACAACCGATCAGAGGCAAATTCTCTTGAGTTTGCCATCTTTTTGGATCATTGCTACAAACGATTTTCGGATAAAGTTACCGAGACTGGGTGGTGGACCATGATTGACAATGGGTCTTACACCGCAGGAACTACAAACGAAGGAAATATCAGAGAAGTTATGCATCTTTTTATTCACAGAGTGATCAAATTTTCTATCAACCAAAATAAGGAAGGGGATTGGGTTCTCAACTTGATGTATTATTTATGTGGTGGATCATTACACCAAATATAATGTCACCTCACTTACTCTGTTGTAGACTTTTTGACAAAGTGGGTAGGAAAGAGCAGGACTGGGGCCCCTATTTATGGTGGAAGTATGGTCACAAAACTAGCTAAATCTTTTGGGATATTTGAAGAGCCCGGGGCTATGTTTCTTACAAGGACAGAGAGCCGCCCGTTGCATCCACGTTTACTCAAGACAGCTTGTATAGTGACGGACATGGTAAACGAAACCTATTTGGTGCCGGTGGATGGCGCGGTTAAGGTTCCAGTAGGTGTTCCGATTGTAAGGTCGAGAGTGGAGGATTGGGATTCTAGAGATGCATATATACGTGATGGATTGCCAATGGATCCATATCATGTGATCTCCTGGTAGTATGATGATGACATTGGCCGAAGCATGAAAAATTTAGGGTTGTCTGTTGAAGCAATGATGCACTACCTTTCAATAGCACCCCCGGCTGGAGAACCAGCCCGCTACACATACATACCTTCTTGGGAGGAGCGATGGGTCCAGAATGCAGGTGGTGCGGGAACTAGTGGAACGAGCGATGGAGATGACGAGGATGAGGAGTGATTATCCTTGTTTTATATTTATTCTTGTTTGGTGTGTTTTAGACAATTTATTTTTGTTTGATTGTTAGGATTTAAGTAATTTAGGATTGTCATCATTTTTAACATGTGTGATATTTTTCTCGGGAAACGTGACGAGAGCTTAAGTGAGGGGTACGATCTGCGAACCGATAAGATTTTTTGCGCATTGCCTTTCCTCACGTGAAATCACAGTGGAAAGAATGAAGAATTATTCTGAATTTCCAGCAGCCACCGCGTGGCGTTACGAGACCACGGCGTGGCCACGAAAGTTTTTGCGATCCAGTTTATGACACTATTCGAAGACCACGAGATGGCTACGCTCTACCACGGCGTGGGGAGTCTCAAATTCACTTTATGATTGTTCGTTTTAACACTATTCGGAGTCTATTTTCTTCGTGCATCTAAATATTATTCATGTTGTGGTCCAGAAGTACTATTTTCAAGCAATTATACGAGAAGTCGACCACACAACTTTTAATCTCGACCTCTCCACTTCTATCCCATGCGAGTCTATTCTTTTTTCTCCCCTTTTACTTTTATGTCTTTAATTGTGTTAAGCATGCAATAAGGACATTGTATGAATTAAGTGTGGGGTAGGAGGTCGAATATAGAAATGCAAGCATATTGATCTTGAAAAAAATAAAATATGACTAGGATTAAAAAAATTTAGAGACTTTAAATAATGGTCTAATTTTGAAATCTAGTTAAAAAAATTATTATATTGCTATGTTGGGACCTACGTTGCTAGTGTTGTGTGGGACGATCCGATGCGAATTTTGATGCCTAATTGAGCCTATATATGTTCTACTGTATTTGCGGCTTCCCTATCCTAGTGAACTCATGAGACAAAAACATAACCTTGTGTAAATTGAGGGACATAATAAGTTTTTCTTTGTGAATACCTACACCTAATAAAAAGTCTATTAGTGACAGATTTATCTCCTGGGTCCACTATGTCAAAATAAAGAGAGTCATATTTCCATGTTTATCTGTTGAATTATATGCATTGTTGAGTCTAGTTATTATATGAAAAATAAGTAACAAATAAGGAGTGGAGTCAATCTGTGACCTTTGGAACATGGCCAGTAAACCCCACGAGATATTTTATGTATGTCCACCTATAGTGTGAGAACAAGATCGATGCGCAGGGACAAGGTTTGAGAACTCAAACCTTGAGTGAATGCTTAAGATCAATGTCTGCTTACTAAATGATGTTCAAATCAAGGCTGGAAAGACAGTCAAGTCTTAGATAATATGTTCAACAAATGATCAAGACATTAAATGAAGAATAATAATAAATGATCAAGGTAAAGCTAATAAATGAAGAACAAGAAGAATGTTTTGAATATGCTTATAGTGAATGCTAAAAAGTGAGTAAAAGATCCATTGTTGACTTATATTGAAAGCTCCTATAAATAGGAGAGAATGTTACAACGAATTAACCCAAGTGTTTACATAGGACCGGACAATAGACATAAGTCTGACATTCTGATTGTACAAATACAACATTACACTAAGTCCTATAAAACATTACATCAAATACAAGACAAAAGTAATAAATGCACAAAAGACAAAATGACTTCACTCCGGACAAGTATTATTCCGGACATGAAAGTTGTTTCCGGATCAGCATGCATTCCGGACATGAGGATTAGCTCCGGAATGCCTTCACTCTTCTTTCCTTCTTAATTGGTCCGGACAGGTTCCAGAAAACTGTTCATTTCGGAATTCACCCACTTCGGAATAGGGAGTTTGGATTGCTAAAGATTCACTTTCAGGTTCCAACAATCTCCCCCTAAGTGAACCTAGCAATCCAGCAGGCTTAGTTCATTTCTTCCTTGATGGAGGTGTAGGCTCTGAACAACCATTCTCGCACTGGAATGTACCACACCAATTGACTCACAAACTTTTCCTTGACCTTTTCTGGAGCATCAATATTAGATGCATGGGATATGAACTTCTGCAGAGCTTTGGTTGGAACTAAGTGTTTGTCAAGGACTCGAAAGAGTCCTTCTTGTTAGTTCTTTTGGTGGTGTAGACAAACCCTAGAACCGGTTTTTCAATCGGACAATCTGCAAGAATTTCAGCTTCCGGAAGAACAAAGTCGATCTTGGCAACAAACTGTTCTGTTCCGTAGAGATGAGCAAGTTCGTAGTCACATCGGCAGAACTCAGCAACATAATCTTTAAGAAAGCTAAGAGTTGTGTGGTAGGCACCACTACTGATGTCATCCTTTTGATTTTCTCTGAAGTAAGCAGCTAGGGTGAGGATGTCGTTTGGATTCATTGAAGGAAAATCCGCATCAGTAACAGTCCGGGCAGTTGGCCTGTTCCGGAGGAGGTGGAAACGGAATACAGGACAGTTCAGCTCAAATTTTACTAAAATTTTTGTTCCAAAGCCTTGAACTTTGGTGATCCTCTTCCTTATCCACACTTCCTTGAAGGGTTGGGCATTCTTTTCATAGAAGATTTTGAGCCTTTCTCGCTCTGTCCGGATGATCACTTCCAGATTATTGTTTGGGTGAAGCGGAGCAAACTTGGTGAAAAATTTGCTGTAAGGAGAGAGAGGAAGATCCAGTTGGTCGGTGTCATTTGTGGGAAGATCATAGTAAAGGGTTGGGATGATCTCTTGTGCTTGAAGAATGCCTTCACGGAAAAGAGGAGAAATTCCACGCATCAGATCGGGATTGTCTTTTTAGGCTTGAATCTAGATGCTGTCCTCTAATGCCTTATGAATTTCCTCCTGAGACCATCCAGATTTTTGCTTGAGGGAGGTCCGGAGTGGAAGGCTTGCTGTTTGGAAGTCATTGGTTTATTCCCTTTCTCTCTTCGAAGCGCATCAATGACCAGCTTCACGTTTTCATCGATCGAGAATTCTGGAATTGGAGTTGGAAGTGGTTCTTCCGGAATCTCATCAGGGGTCCGGAGGGGAGATCCCTGGTCAATTGGAGCTATTTTTGGTTCCGGAATGAGAGGCTGAACTGAAGGAGTGGCTCGGAAGGCTTGAGCGGTTAAAAATGATTTTGCTTTTGCCATTTTAACAGCCATTTGAAAAGCATCCGGAAGAGAGGATGGCTATGAGACTGCAAACCAAATCCTCTTTTGTTCTTCAAACATTTCCTTCGGAATGGTCAATTTTGGAGCTTGAAGACCAAGAACTCCTTTGGGAGCTTCATCCAGAACATAAACGTTTTCATCTTCACTTTCTTCTCCTTCCGTGATCCCTAGAATTCCGGACACGATTTGAACGCCTTCTTCGGAATCCAAATCTTCATCCCGGAGTACGAATTCAGAGGCGGGTTTCCATTGTCTACTTGGGCCTTCTCCCCCTCTTGCATCGGTGAATCTTGGAACCGGTGCAAGCTGCATAACCTCTTTCAGATCGTCAAATTTTGAGAAGACGTTCTGAAGGCCGGAGGTGAGTTGAAGAGTGAGAGAATCGTAAGCGTCAGTAGTGGGGGCCTGACCAGAAAGATGTTTGAAGGTGCTGCTGAGGATGGAAATCATCTCATCAAACTTCATGTTCGGAACAACAACAATGTTCCAAGTAGAGCGGAGATGTTTGATGAGGACTTGCTGAATAATGAGGTTCATCTCATCCTTCTTCCGGATCTCTTTCTCCAACCGTTGAATTTGTTTTTCATGACGAACATGGGTCGGCTTGATTAGGTCGTTGGTAGTAGACACCAGATCTGATGGGTTTTTGAGCATTCTAACACTTCCTAAGTGTACGTGCAACCCTAATAACCTTGAATCTATGTTTTCTCCATATACATGCAAATTTCTTTTTCAAGGTTATTTCCTAACTAGCATGGCATGGGGATTACATAAAACATAAAACTAGTAGAAATACATACCTTGTTGTTGCTTGGATTCCTTCAAGACTTTGTGAGCCTAGCACCCCAAATGTTGTGCCTCAAATGCTTCACACAACACCACAAGACTTGGAATAACTTGAGAGAATACTTTTAGCACTCAAAATCGGTTATGCCCTCTCTAGTAACACTATGTCCACTAGATCACCATTTTGCTAGCCATAGGGTTCATTTTATAGTGTTGTCACAATTAGGGTTTACTCATGAAGACCCTTAATTGCCATGACTCTTGATTTCCCATGACCCATGGGTTTGTAACTCCCATAGACTATCCATGGAGCTCCATATGGTTATAACCAAACCCATAAACCATGGATCATTAATCCACCATAAAAGAATTGATGATTGTCATAATCAACCCTATATATTTAATTAGTCTCACTTTGATCACTAGATTAATACTAGATTAATACTTGATCAATACTAATTAAATAATATTATTATTAATATATTAGAACTTATAATATATTAATAATCATAAGTGCCTTATTCTCTCATTTAGTCTATCCAAGTATTGCAATGCCATGCAACCCAAATGGACCATGCCGGGTCGGGTCAAGTACATACCAAATAAAGTTATGGACTTAGACACTATATCCAACAGTCTCCCACTTGGATAAGTCTAATAACTATATTTGCAAATATGACTTCAAAATCCAACTAGCAATCGTAGCTCTTTCAAAGTCTCTCGGAACTGAGATGATGATGACACGCCATTTAAGATAAGTGATCATATAATCCTCTGTTCTCATGATATAAGCCGGACAAACACATGGAACATGGTCTTACTTATTGTCCAGCATTTGTTTCTCGATCTCTGATTTGTTTCGACATAGAACTAAATTGAACACATCAATTAGGTTCTGACCGGGCCCGGTACATAGGTCAAAACCAAATCATCGAGGGGCCCAGATATCGCTTCTATTTCTAGAAGGAACAGATAAACTTCGACTGATATGCTTGTACTAACTACTTGTTGAATTATTCATAAAGGCACGTTTTATGACAACGAGTTACCAATGCGTTTTCGTACAATCAATGAATAACCAACTCATAGTCAACAACTCATATCTCTAGGTTTGAAGATTTATATGATATTACCGTCTCAC